TTCAGTAAACTTGTTCCCTGTTGTGGACCACAGCCTCCTTAATGCTTTCTTATTACCGTGAACCCCGAATCAGGATAGCTGATTGATAGCCTGGGGGGCTTGACCAAACCAGAAAAAAGTCAACGAACGTGCGAAACGGCTGATCTATTGATCATTGTAGCGTACAGGTCAACTCATCTGTCAAGGACGAGTGAAGAACAACCAATGAAATATGTCTCAACGAAAACGGTTATTCCATTGGCTGTTATCTATCTATCCATGAACCAACATCTACAAGAGTAGTTCTGCGCGGGGCAGACGTAGAGACTAGGACTTCTGATGTAGGTGGCTTGAAATGGCTCAATGGTAGCTCGGTGAACATTTATTGACCAGGGGGTCCCTGCTTCGAGCCCTAACTCTGGCAATCCCAGTGCTGCTGTCCAGTCTTGGGCAACCTGACTGTTACTCAGCGTTCCGTATTCTTTCGGGTGTCAACTCGCTTGGGTAGCAATAGATTGCTACAGATGAACGATCTCCAACAGACTGGTTAATCTGGAGCGCCGAACGTCACGCTACCATCCTCATTTCTGTAGACTAACCTATGAAGTATGCTTCTATGGGTTGGTTGCAAGCATAGTACCATGTTGTCCTAATCCGTACAATAGTGAGAAATACGAGAGGAGATGGGACTGCGTACCACATGAACTGGCGTCAGGCACAGAACAGACACGCAACAACAGACCAATCAGAATACAAGAAAATATCGGACTCGCAAAGGTTGAAGAGCTCAGGGACTAGCAGCAATTTGATTGGGCGTGTAGAAATCGATATCGTCAGTGCGCGAAAACAGCAAATGCCAGCCGCTACACTGGGCAAGAATATCCGGGTTTATGATATTCTTTGGCCTAATGTGTTGCACAAAGGCCACAAATTCGTTTGGAAATAACTTTTTTTCGCCAAAGGCGTACGATTTTTGTTCAAATAGTAAGTAAGGAAACTCGGGGACCACACCTACCTAATGAACCCGAAGAGGAGCGTGCGTAACCCACCGTGGACTGTCAAAGGGTTCTAACCTTGTGTGCGTAACCCACCGTGGACTGTCAAAGGGTTCTGAGTAACCTTGTGAGTAGTGGCCGTTGATGAAACCACGCGATTTTCACAGAACACATAACTGGCTTCAGCATTCATCACGCATTCGACCACAGTGCTACTGTAATCAACGGCGAATTAATTTCGCTCCGGCTTTTTGTTAGTCCAAACTTATAACACCCAGCTAAGATCATCAGTCAAGGAAAGTGGATAGCATTTTCTCATAAAGGAAGCTACTCACAAGGTTGCTGAAAACTCTTCGACAGCCCACGACCGGTTTCGCCCTTCCAATTCAGGCTCATCAGGTAGGCGCAGTCCCCGAGTTTCCGTCAACCTTATGTTCTACTTGAACCCAGCAGTTTGTTAGCCGACCCCAGCCTAAAGTGGCAGTGATCAGCTGTTCATTACGCACTAACATACGGGCATGTTGTGATCCTTTACACAGTCTTCTTTTCCTGCTAGAGTTTGTAACTTTTCCTCCATTCACCTCTTTTCCTTGATCAATACTGACCGATGTGAAATCCGACCCCACGAAATCTAGAGAAATATCGGAATGTAACCCGGCTTCCTATAGTTCCTTTCAGCTGAATTGCATGGTACATTTTTCACTCGAATGAATTTACAGACGGTTTTAGTCTACAGCACAATCCATTCGATCAATTCATTCCCAGACGTGGCTCCGGTTAGGGAAGCAAATCCCATCTGATCTGCAATTGAAAGCGAAAATACTGCGTCATACTTTTTAAGAGATCCTGAACTTTTTCAAAATATCAGCAGGGGAGAATTTCTCCCCCGATAGCCGCTCGTGCCGAGCATCAGACGTTGGTCATAGGACAAGGCATTTGTCGGACAGAATGTGAAGACACAAACCCGTATTTCTGAGTCGTGATGGGGAGAAACCAGGCTCAAGCGCGATTGCATTACATTTGGCCGAAACCAATCATGTCATAGACAAGGAGCAAGCCTTCACCATCATATACCGGGTACCTCTGAACCGATCACGACTGGTACGATTGGAGACTACTATCGATCGCAGAGGCGATAGGAATCCGACTGCTGGATCCACAACTTTGCATCGAAAAGAGACTTGTGCGACCTCTGAACTTAAACTGGCCTACGAAACATCCGGTCCCACAATTCTGTCTGACATTGACGTCACTTACCTGATTTCGTGACCCGTTGACCTATCCCTCATTCAACCCCCCTTCCTTTGATTTCTATTTCTCTAAAGGGTATGTAGCCCCGAAATCAAACTTTCCACGTGGTTGCTGGTACCATATAAATTTGTGATGTATTAGCCAAGAGGAACACTCACAGAAAATAAGCTTTGTTCGCTACCTTCTTCGTTCTCATGACTACCACGGATACATTCAGCCACTCGAGACAATCCAAATACCCATGCGTGCTAAAGGAACTTCAGAGGTATCTGAGGTGCAGCGCGAAAATTGCGGGAGCCAGGATAAAGCTATGAATCCTCAATCAATTTATGCAACAGAATCCGCTTCCAACGTTTTATTCACGACTACTACGCAGAAACCGAATCAATCCAACTGCCACTCCACTAAGCCGCCACGCATGCAATGAATGTGACACGATACAGGAGAATATTCGGGAACTAGAACGTAAACAAGCTCAGCTTGCACTAGAAACGCTGACGATATCCGATCGCTTAGACTTCAACACATCTGTTCGACTCATTATTGCCAAACGGACGGATGCCAGGGAGAAGAAACTCGTCAGCCAGCTCAATCCATTGACACCATGCACCAAGTTTCCAACAATCCCGGAAAGGTACGTGCACAATTTTTCTTCGTTAATGCTGGATACCATCCTCTTGGAGGCGTTGTCACTAGGTCCCAGTCATGGAGACTGCCAGCTGGAGCTTGAAGTTCAATTTGAGAATCTATATGACCAGGTATCCGCGCTAGTACCTTCCTCTGAACTGAGTGTAGAACAACTGAAATCGACACTAGTCAATTCGTGTTACCAGTACCTCAACTACAAACCCAGACCCAAACGACTTTTAACAGAGAATCCATAACAATCGGTCAGGTTTTGAACCAGCCCCTGAAGTGATCACTTCTCAAACAAACGTTTCAGTCACCTTATAAATCTATTCTTTCACGAGTCATATGTACTTTGTTTGGATGCCCGCGAAAGAGGTAGACAGCAGATATGAACGAACAATTCATTGTAAAGTAAATTCCCAAGTGTGGTAATCAACTGACAAATTTGAAAGAAACTTGACTAACTGCACTGTCATTTCTTTTAGGTTCGCCAACTGGAGGTTCATAGACCATGCGGGTGATATTTTTTCCGCATATCAGAGACAGATTGCCTGGTATCATTGAAGAAGTTCACCATGTCTGGCGTCGTCTGAGTGTGGAGGTAATCGCGTCTTATGCACCGAGGCACGGAAGAGCGGGACATCAGTCAGATGTAACACTATAAGTGTTACAAATCAATCAGTGTTACAAATCAAAAGTGAATACTGTTCAAAGTTGACGCAACTCGCTGTAGCTGCGTTGTAGCTCCCCAACAATACAGTGATGATGGTGAAACGTTTGCAACCGAATTGACCTGCTCAGTGAACAAACCAACGACAGTCTGCGTCACGTGATCTACCAGCATCCTCCTCTTTAGAAAACAAGGGAAAATGGTTGTTCTTGATGAGCTGCGAGTAGCACAAACTGAGATTACCGGAAGCCTCTTTGAGCATTTACACTCTCTGTCTTGTCAAAATGGATGCGTCTAGTTAAAAGCTTGAATAACTTTGCATGAGAGCTATGTTCCTAGTGGATACTTGAAAACCCCGTGCATGGGTGGTCTGGCTATGAAGCGTACCGTACATAAGGGGAGGCGGTCGCATATGTTTACATATCCACTCTGACCAGACGGGTCGATTCCGAAACAACCCAGTTCCGGTGCAGACAAAAAACTAACAGACTAACAGGGTAATCAGTTGTTGCTGACCGCGGGTTTTTGCAATTCACATCAGTCTTGTTTCAACCTGCCCTGACAAGTCTACATCAAAGGTCGGAAGCCATGCGGTTCTGTTTTTGTATTAAAACTCATCTGCACTGCGGACATTTGGTCACCTCGCTGTTTGAATTCGAGACACCTGACGGGTTTACCGAACCAATATTCGAAACGAATTATTATTACTGAATAAAATAGTGTTCACCCTTGAGTAGTGTAATTGGTCTGCTCAGACAATATTTGATCGGTTGTTCAGGGCGTCGTTGCTGGAATGGTTTCTGGCAAGCCGGAATCCGCATGTCGCATGTCTGGACTTCAAGACACGACGTGGCCAAAGTTAAGCACCGCTGATGAGATCCAGCTAAACTCAAGTTAAGTGGTTCCACTCTTTACTATGCGGTTGCCGAGTAATTGCGCCAGAATTATGTGAACGTAAACACATGGGAACCTACAAAGTAGTCTACCAAAGCATTTGTATATGGCGGATAAATCTGAGCCACGAAATTTGTAATTTGGAGACGAGAGGCCTACGGTTTCATTCGATAGCTAGTTGGAATGCATTTTGCCGCACTCGGACGATGTGGTATTATTGTGCCCGAACTATAACAGTAGAAAACCATGCATGTATCTGATCGTGCGTATGTAACTCTGGTCATTACTAGCGACAGATCAGACTTGAACTCGGTACGTTCGGTTGCGGATGAGTGCAGCGCAGCACTGTGTTTGTTCCCGGTCGAGCTTCATTCACGTTTCCGCGATGACAGAGCATTCATTTCTAAAATGCCGAAACCAAGAGTTGACGGTATGACAGTTTCGAATATGCCAGCAAATCTTGGGGTGATATTTTCTGATTGACCCACGTCTGTACCCGAATGAATGTTACCCTGCGGGGTCACTTTCGAGCATATGAAAGTTTGGAGTTATTCAGTTGTTCGAACATACCTGAAAGGCCGATCTAAAATAAGACATACTAAGTAGGAAGTGATTCTTGCATGTTTGACAATCAGAAAGTCACATAGGGAATATCAAGGTTGTTACTGAGGATCAGATTACAAAAAAGCTGCAAGTTTTCATTGGATATTCTGAGTGCCAATCAGATGTCCTTTTACCCTTTGTTTGGCTAGTTGGTTGCTGCCAAGGACGGCGCCTCGCGGTTCGGCATGCGCTTCACACCTGCAAAGTGTTAAGTGCTACTGCAAGATTGGGTGGGCTCGAACCCTAGCCTCATGCTTGCAGATGAACCGATTGAGGTAGTAGACAAATTTGTTTACCTGGGCAGCTGTATCAGTCCCGG